TGTTACACAAATCCTTCTCCAGGAGCTATAAAGAGAAAAGATAGGTTGAATAAAAGTGCTTCTTAGCCAGTAGCTCAAGGTCCACAGGCTGGGAATATTCACAGTACTGACAGTTTGGCAGAGTTCCTCTGAACTCTGCTTGAAACCAAAAGGATTTCAGATTTTTTTAATTTTAGAATATCTGGATAGATATTCTATCACATGTTATAACATGACATCACTATTCTGAAAAGCTAAAAACCAAAATCCGTCAAAACCTGAGACAGTTTGATAATCAAGTTTTGGAACAGTTCAGATATCTGACTTTCTGATTAGGAATGTTCAGTATTTATTTTCAAATAGATTGTACACTGTGGTAACTATAGTTAACAACAATGCATACTAGTTAACTGCTACAACCACATTTGAAATGTTCTCACATATGGGATAATACATGAGGGGATGAGGAATAGAGATGGTAACTGGATTGACTTAACCACATATATACATGATCAAAATATCATGGTGTAGACCATAAATACATGTAGTTTTTACTCATCCAAGTAAATAAGGGTAATTTCCTGTAGTGGAAAGTCTCAGAGGAGCCAAAGCTACTCCCAAAAAATTATTAGCAAATATTAATTATACAGAGTAATGGATTTCCTTGTAACAATATTGTATGTACATGTAACACACTTTAATGACATTGAACTCTCCATCACTCTTTTGTCCCCCTTTCTCCTCTCTTCAACCCCTTTCCTCCTCTTTAAAAGCACCTCACCCTTGTTCTTTCACATCTTCCCTGGTCCACATCTGACAGGAAATGTGATACTTAATATGATCTCTAGTTCCATTTATTCTCCAGTAAATGACATTACATTATTCTTTATGGTTGAAGAAGAGTAATCCATGGTGCATAAACACACACACACACACACACACACACACACACACACACACACACACACACACATTCTTTATCCATTCATCTCTAAATGGCACCATGGCTGATTCCCTAAATAGTTATTGTGAACACTGCTGCAATAAACATGGGTACAGCCAGGCCCACACCTTTAATCATGGCACTCAGGAGGCAGAGGGAAGTGAATCTTTGTGAATTCCAGGCTACTCTGGTTTACATAGTAAGTCCCAGTCAGTCATGGTTACAGTTTTCACTTGTCTCAAAAAAAAGGCGGGGAGGGGAGGTAATAGGCATCTCTATGCTGATTTTCATTCCTTTAGGTCTATAACCAGAATGATATGCCTGGGTCCTATATGGTGATTCCACTTTTAGTTTTTAAAGAATATCCATACTGATTTCCACAGTGGCTGGGCTAATTTATATCCCTATTTTTAATGAAATTACAGTGCTACAGATGGAGGCCACAGCTTACACATGGCAAGCAAGCACTTTCCCATTGAACCCCACTTTCAGGTCCTGGCCCCCAAAGCAGTATTTGATTTCCTTTTCCTCCCATCTTCACTGGTATTTGTTTCTGTTTGATTTCTTAGTGAAAACTATTTGAACTGGGATAAGATGGCATCTCACTGTAGTTTTGCTATGTTTCTCTCTTGTGGCTAATGATGTAAGGCAGTGGTTCTCAACTGTCCTAATTCTGCGACCCTTTTATATTGTTCCTCATGTTGTGGTGACCCCAACCACAAAATTGTTTTTGTTGCTACTTAATAACTACAATTTTGCTACTGTTATGAATCATAATGTAAATAGTTTTGGAGATAGAGGTTTGCCAAAGGAGACATGACCCATAGGTTGAGAACCACTGTTCTAAGGGAAACTTAAAAACATTTCCCATTATAAAGTACTAATTTCAAAATAACAGAGCAGGAGGTAAGATCCTACCTTGCAAACTTCTGGAGAGGCATTGAGCAGGGTTGTAGTAAATTCCATAATCCGGACTAAGATGGTGCATTTACTATAGTTGTATTTTTCTTCCTCTTGTGGGCTGGGAGGGCCAGTTGACACTCCTGTGCAAAAGCACTGTTCTACTGCTCTAGCATCACATGTTGCTATGCTTTCTAAAAAGAAAGCCACTGATTTCAAAAGTGAAGTCTGTGTTTCAGTACCTAGGAATAATAACAGTAAAATATTAGTGTGCATTTCCTCCTAACTATACTAAAATGAATGTGAAGTTCTTTCTTAAAATAAAGGTAATGATATACACTCAACAAAAATTTCAAGAATTAAAAAAAAAGTTCAAGAAAAGATGAACAAAACAGCAGTTATTTCTTCTTAGCTTCTTAGTTCAAACTTTGAACTAAACGATAATCAAAACAGAATTCGATTTCACATATAAACAGTAACAATGTCTTTACAGGGTCTGGTCATTTGTTTATTTATATATTTATTTACTGATTTAGTAGGAATGAACTTAGGCCCTCCCACATGCTAGGAAAGCACTCTGCCACTGTACTATATCCCTACCCTCTTGTTATTGTTTGAACACTTTGCCCCAACTGGTTTAGATATTCTGGGAGTTCTGCAGCTTTTAAAAGGTTAAGAATAGTTAGAAGACACTGGTTCCTGGTGGGATGTTGTTGTGTTCAGGGATATTCTCTCACTTTTTGCCAATCATGAGGTGAAGGGATCTGCCACATCTTCCTGTCACCATGATATATATAGAGACAGGCCTCCGTGGACTCTAAACAATGAGCCAAAACAACTCTGTCCTTCAAAGTGTTTATGTCAAGATATTGTCACAAAAACACAAAGTTTGACTAACACAAGTCGACTGTCAAATATTACTTATGAGAACTATCATTTAAAAGAGCAATTTGGCAACTCATATAAAAAGACTTAACAAATAAATATGCATGTTAATCTTTAACAAATATTTTAAAATTCCTATTGTTTTATTGAACACTGAAATTTTAATCCAATAAAATAATGGCAAATAGTAAATAAAGTTCATTTTACCAATTTTTGGTCTTTGAGACAGGAACCTACTTATATAACGCAAGCTGGAGTGAAACTTGTGATCCTCCTCCCTACCTCTCCTGAAGAGGTGGGAAGAGAGGTGTGCAGCACCACATCTAGCACTATTTTTGATAATGAAGAAATTGGAAAAACTCCTCCAATGAGCAATGTAGAAACAAATGGCAGTGAGGCTCTTTAATCAGATATGTTGGGCATTTGCTATCTTACAGAGACATTCTCTAGCTCAACTCCGCATTGCCTTATAAAATCAATCTGTCTGAATAAAACCAAGCTGTTCCTTCCACACTGAACACTGTTTTCACTATGACATTTCTTCCACTTACCATATTGCTCCACTCTTCTCATAGGTCACTACCCCAAAACATAGCAAGCTTCAGAGCCTCAGAAAAGGTAACAACACTAAGTACTGGTACATATGCTCAAAGAGAGAATAAAGCTGATAACTAAGAGAGTCTCTTTTTCTTTTCCCTCCCTCCCTCCATCTGTCCAATCTTCCCTTTCTTTCAAGCTGCAGGGTAGTTTAATTAGAGAGTCAGCAGAGCAGGTAAGCTGTAAATCTCAGCAGCTGCACAGATAGGAGGTGGGAAAGAAGAAAACAGAAATACAGACCTTTTACAGTAGGAGAGTGGAGGAAGTCCAGAAGCATGACCATGTCAAATGTCAATCTGTTTATATGGTGGATTACATTTATCAATTTATATATGTTCAACAATCTTTGTATCTCTGGGATAAAACACACTTGATCATCATAGATCATCTTTTTGATGTATTCTTGGGTTTGATATGCAAATATTTTGAGAATTTTTGCCTCTATGTTCATTGAAGAAATTGATCTGTAATTCTCTTTCTTTGCATGGTTTAGGTATCAGAGTAATTATGGCCTCACAGAAAGAATTGGACAATGTTCCTTCTGTTCCTATTCTGTGGAAAATTTGAGGAGTATTGATGTTAATTCTTCTTTGAAAGTCTGTTAGAATTCTGTACTGACTGTATCTGGCCCTAAGCTGTTTTTGTTTGGGAGACTTAATTGCTGCTTCTATTTCACTATGAGTTATAGGTCCATTTCAATTGCTTATATGATCTTGATTTAAGTGTTATATACCAAGAAATTCATCCACTTTTTTAAGTTTTCAATTTGGTGGAGTACAGATTGTTAAAAGTATCTCCTTATGAGTCTCTGCATTTCCTTGGTGTATGGTGATATTTTATTTGTACTGAAATGTGATTTTTTTTTTGTATGTTAATAAATAAAGTTGCCTGGGGGTCAGAGCTAATAGCAAGCCATAGCAGAGCTAGGCATTCGTGGCACACACCTTTAATCCCAGCACTTGGTAGGCAGAGCTAGGTAGATCTCTGTGTGGTCAAGGATACAGCCAGCATTGGAGACACACACCTTTAATCTCAATACAAACCATAGAAGATCTGGAGGTCTGTACAAACAGGCAGTGATGAGGTGGTCATGTGGTTGGGTTTACAACCAATGAGAAGGCAGAACAGAAATTCTATATAAAGACAAACACACAGGAAGTAGGTCTCTCTTAGCCGAAGAGGCTAGCTGCAGCAGACGGGTAAGGCTTTTAGCTCTGATCTCTTGGCTTTCTTCTTTGCATTGGTTCTGTGTTTCTTATTTAATAAGACGGTTGGTTACATCTACATTGGTATCTGTTGTTAGACCCCTTTTCATCTTTCATTTTATTAATTTGGATCTTATCTCTCTGTCTTTACCAATCTTACTGATTTCCTCAAAGAAACAACTCTTCATTCATTGTGGTGTTTGTTTCTATTTTATTAATTTCAGCCTGAGTTTGATTATTTCTTGCCATCTACTCCTTTTAGATGTGTCTTCTTCTTTTTGTTCTAGAGCTTTCAAGTGTGCTTTTTTTTTTTGGTTTTTCGAGACAGGGTTTCTCTGCGTAGCTTTGCGCCTTTCCTGGAGCTCACTTGGTAGTCCAGGCTGGCCTTGAACTCACAGAGATCCGCCTGGCTCTGCCTCCCGAGTGCTGGGATTAAAGGCATGCACCACCACCACCCGGCTCAAGTGTGTTTTTCAAGTTACTAGTACAAAATCTCTCCAGTTCTTCTTAGTGCTATGAGCTTGCCTCTTAGAGCCACCTTTATATGTACTACAGTTTGGGTATGTTATGTTTCATTTTCATTCAATTCTAAAAAGTTTCTAATTTCTGTCTTGACACATTTTTCACCTAGTAGTGAGTTGTTCAGCTTCCCTGAGTTTGTAAGCTTTCTGTTGTTTCTGCTGTTGTTGATATTCAACTTTAATCTGTGGTGGTCAGATAAGATGCAGGGTGTTATTTTAATTTTTTGTATCTGTTGAGACTTGCTTTATGTCCAAGCATGTGGTTAGTCTTGGAGAAAGTTTTATGAGCTGCTAAGATGGAAGATAAATTCTTTTGTGTTTGACTAAAACATTCTATAAATATCTCTTAGGTTCATGTGGTTTATAACATCAGTTAGCTCCAGCATTTCTCTGTTTAGTTTTTGCCTGAAATGACCTGTCTATTGGCAAGAACAGGGTATTAAAGTCACTTACTATCAGTGTCTGAGGGTCAGTATGTGATTTTGCTACTGTAGTGTTGTTTGTTTTTAAACTTGGTTGTCGTGTGTTTGTGCATAAATGTTAATTGCACAAATTGCAATATTCTCTTGGTGAATTTTCCCTTTCATGGGTATATGGCATCCTTCCCTATCTCTTCTGATCAATTATAGTTTGAAATCTATTTTGTAAGATATTAAGATGGCTACAGCAGCTTGCTTCTTAGGTCCATTTGCTTGTAATATCCATTCCATGCTTTTACCCTGAGGTGATGTCTATCTGTAGATGGCATGAGGTTCTTGTGCTCACAGATAAGCAATAGAGAAACCTGGAATATTAAACACACAGTATTGTCTCTTCAAAGGAAGAGATATATAACTTGTTTATGCCCAGAAGGCTGGGAATGAATGTAGTTAAAAGCCTGGTGATCTCTGCACTATCTGTATGACCGAAGCCACGCGTGGCTCCCAGAGACTCTTAAAAATAGCCTAGTGACCTTTGAGCTACCTGCATGACCCAGACCACACCAGATCTCCCTCAGGCTCCTAAGATGGCACATGTAGTATATCTATAGAGCCTATCTTTAGGGAAGATGTGACATGTCCTTTGAAAAGTTTCAATGTAATTATATTTTAAGCTTTATTGGGCACATGGGATTGGGTTACACCAGGAACTTTTCTCCAAAATGTACTGTACTTGAATATGCCTAAAATAAACTGCCTGGTATCAGACTCTCAAAGTTTGAACCAACATCAAGTACTGAGTCATGCTGACCAGACTTCCCTCTTGTCCTTCTTTCTCGTCAAGTGGATTGACACTCTGCTGGCCATGACGTTTGCAGAGACACCCTCTGCCCCATCTATCCTTGATGTTAAAGTGTCTTTCTTGGATGCAGCAGGAGGAAGAATCGTACTTTCAAATCCATTCTGTTGGTCTCTTGGAGCCCACTAGCTTTCCTAGTGGCAGGACCCAGCAGGACTGCATGGGAGGTTGACTGGACCACGGGCCTGGGTATCAGGTCTTTGTAAGGGTCTAACTAGCAAGGGGGATGGAGGTCTTTTGCTCCACCTCTTGGCACTGTTATAAACAGACCTTTGGAATAAAGTTCTGGGCTGGTGAATAAGGATCCAGGCCCACCCGAGTCTACCCTGTGTTTTCTTTCCATTCTTTATTTCTATCTAAGTCTTTTTTTTTTTTTTAAAGAAAGTATTTTTTTTTTAAAGATTTATTTCTTTATTATATACACAGTGTTCTGCCTGCAGGCCAGAAGAGGGCAACAGACCACATTACAGATGGTTGTGAGCCACCATGTGGTTGCTGAGAATTGAACTCAGGGCCTCTGGAAGAGCAGCCAGTGCTCTTAACCTCTGAGCTAACTCTCCAGCCCCCTCTAAGTCTTTTATCCCTCATTCCTCAAGAGTTCCTGGGGGTAAATAAGTGTGGGGGCTGGTCTACTACAGTTGGATCCTGAACAGGGACAAAAAAAAAAAAAATTAAAAAAAATCCCCAGGGCTTGGTGAAAGGATTGTCGGGGCATTGCGAATGTAGGCATGCCGATAAGGAGTTGAAAAATAAAGGCAACAGTATTTTATTCTCGGGTGTATAGGTAGACAATAAAATGCTGCAAGGCTGTAGTGTTAGAATTCATTCTCTCTCTCTCTCTCTCTCTCTCTCTCTTTCTCTCTCTTCTATCTATAAAAAATAAGAAATGTAAAGGCTTGAGTAGGTCTTAATTAGGGTTTGTATAAAAGTCCTTCCTATCTAAGGTAATCCTATAATAAGCTTGTAAGAAGTAGCTGTAAATTAAGTTTAAATAAGAATAAGGTCGTCTATTAGGTAGGCTTAGTCCTATAGAATGTAGGTTAAATAGGTCATAGATTTAGTATAAAATGAGTCAGAAAAATGTAGGTTTAGAATATATAGGCCTTAGGTTTAAGGATATGATTTTAAAAAATGTAATTTAGAATAGGTTTTCCCAACCTGGGACTCAGAGAGCAATGTCCATGGTGGACTATGGACTTGACAGTTCCAGAAAGCCAACAACAACAACAACAACAACAACAACAACAACAACAACAACAAACAGTTCCAGAGACAGTCAGCTTCAGAAAATAGCAGCCAGAGGGTCTCGGGAGCCGAAACCCTCAAGGCATCAACACCGTGCAGATGGCAGATGCACGAGGGTCCACAAGTTTTCTACTGAAAGAAAGCCACGGTGAAAAATAACCAAGCTAAGCCATGAGAGAGGTTAACGACAAGCAGCAGTTTGGAAAGCCCTGCAGAGATGCCTCACCGCAGGAAAGATGAACAGTAAGGTTCTCTAACCTTTGAGACGCTACACCGCAAAAAAGACAAACGGCAGAGAAAACCCAGAGGTTGAGGGGGAGAGGGATGATGATGAACAGTGAGCAGAGCAAGGGTGAACAGCGGAGACAGCAGAAACCAGACTGCTCAGGACCAGAGAAGGTGTCAGTGCCTGGCAAGCAGCTGAGACGCGCTGGAAAGCAGAAGGCTGTGGACGTGAAATCCGTACTTGAGGCTGAACAGCCAGCCTGAGGCTCTGCGGGAACTGCTAAGACTGACTACAGCCCGAGCTCCCAGCATCGAGGCAACTATGCAAGAAGACAGCGTACAGAGAATTCCGGGGACCAGGTTTGCTGAGCACTTGGACTGTCAGCAGTAATGAGTTTTCCTCCCAAAGCTGGTTTTGCCATGGGAAGGCCACTGTTTCTGCTCTTGGCAGCTGAAGGAGCCTTGAGCTTGTGTGGCTCTAGCCTGCTCTGGGACTGAATGCAAAGCGCAGCGGTAGCTAAAAGTGGAGGTTTCAGAGAAACTTGCTTGAACTAAAAAGTTTTGGTTGTGGGACTTCTATTTAGAACCGTTTGCTTCAAAGTCATTACGATTCTGACAGCTATACACAGACTTAAGGGCAGCTGACAAGTCAGGCCGTCTATGAGCGCTCAAAGGAACTTTTAGGAATGGAACCAAAACTCTTTTTGGACTTTTGAACTTAAAAAATAAAATGGACAGTAATGATTTCGTTACAATGGAACAGTTTGAATTTACTTATGCATACAGACTCTATCAACAACGATGATTTATGAACTGCTTATGGAATTGTTTATGTAAAAATGGAACTGTTTAAACAGAAAAGTTTTGTTTTGTTTTAAAAAAAAGGGGGAGAGTTAATATTCCTCAGTATATTTAATTTAAAAAATATTTTCGTGTTACTTGAGTAAATTAATGTTATGTTTTGTATAGTTCTAAATTGTAGGTTGAGAGTAGGTTTGCAGGTTGAGAGTAGGTTTGTAGAAATTATTATGCTAACCTATTGATATTGATGCACCATGGTTTGGTGAAGTTAAAGCATTTAAGTTTAAGATGTACACATCAGAAGTTTATCCTATGTTTTGTTAGCAAGAAATATTAAGAGTTTGCTTTAAGATGTGAGATTGAGAAAATTATAACGATGCATAGCAATATTTATATTAGAAGTATGTTAACCTGTTTGTCTTTAAGTTTGATGTGTTTGCATCAAGAATTTTTTTTCTCTTAAAATATAAGAAGAGGGACCTGTTGGAGCCCACTAGGTTTCCTAGTGGCAGGACCCAGCAGGACTGCATGGGAGGTTGACTGGACCACGGGCCTGGGTATCAGGCCTTTGTAAGGGTCTAACTAGCAAGGGGGATGGAGGTCTTTTGCTCCACCCCTTGGCACTGTTATAAACAGACCTTTGGAATAAAGTTCTGGGCTGGTGAATAAGGATCCAGGCTCACCCAAGTCTACCCTGTGTTTTCTCTTGGTTTCTCTCCTCTCTATTTCTAACTAAGTCTCTAATCCCTCATTCCTCAAGAGTTCCTGGGGTAAATAAGCGTGGAGGCTGGTCCCCCACATTGGTCCATTTTTTTAATTGGGAAACTGAGACCACTGATGTTGAAAGTTATCAATGAGCAGTGTTTGTAGATTCCTGTTATTTTATTGTTAAGGTGTGGGTTCTTTTCCTCCCTTTTTTGATTACTGTCTGGGATTACTTATTCCTTATGTTTTCTTGAGTGTGGTTAACTGCTTCTGATTGAAGTGTTCCCTCTGTCACCTCCTGTGGAGCTGGACTTGTATAGAGATAATGCTTAAATTTGGTTTGTTGTAGATGATCTTCTTTCTCAATCATTTATGACTAAAAGTTTTGCTGGGTATAGTAGACTGAGCCTGCATCTGTGGTCTCTTAATGTTTGTAGGACATCCATCCAGGCCTTGATAGCTCTTCCATTTTCCATTGAAAAATCAGGTGTCATTCTAATAGGTCTGACTTAATACATTATTTGGTATTTTTCCCATGCAGTTTTTAATATTCTTTGTTCTGTATGTTTAGTGTTTTGATTATTATGTGAAGGGAATTTCTTTTTTGTTCCATTCTATTGGGTGCTCTGTATGTTTATTGTACCTTGATAGGCACCTTCTTTAAGTCAGGGAAATTTTCTTTTATGATCTTGTTGAAAATATTTTCTGTGCCATTGACCTGAGTTTCTTCTTCCTCCATTTCTAGTTTCAGATCTACCTTTATCATTTCAATCTCCTGTTTGTAT